ATATGCAATAGAAATGTATATTAAATTTAAGATTAATCATGATTAATTCACAGCTACTTTGGGATTAATCAGATTAAAAATATTAATCATTTGACAGCCCTACATAAAATACAACTAGATGCACTTAGATTAGATTTAAACACATGTAAATCTACACACTTTATAAGACCAGAAATATTCAGATTTTAAGAATTTATGAAATGTCCCATGAGCCTTTGCTCCCTAAGCGTACGTCAAACTTTCTCCAAGCGCTAGCTTAATCACAAAAAATAAAAAGGACTTTACTAAAAAGCCTTATATGATTGCATTTGGCCCACAGCCCTCGGACAGATTTTCCTTTTGGCCCWTTTGGAGTAAAATGTTTGYGCACKCCTGCCCTAGTCAATTATTTGGGGGTGGCACCTGGGTTGACCAATCAAGTTTCAGGGGAGGGGCACTGGCCACCCCAGTCAACCCTCTGGCTCCGCCCCTTGTCAGAACTCAGTGCTGATCAGCAGAGGACAGAAACAAGAATGTTGTTCTTGATTATTTATTCCCAAGTTGTTGTTTTTTTTTTTTTCTTGCTTAAATTTTCATGATTCTCCAAACTGATTGCTTTACGCTGTAGGTAAGATATTGATTGAGCAAAAGTACTCCATGCAATCCCTCYTAAAAATAACTATCCCTCTGCCGAGAAGGTAAAAAACAAAAAAACAAAATGTACACTAATCTTGTTTTGGAGTTGTGTCAACAACAGCACATGTTCATGAATGTGCTGCTCCATCTGCCGCTTGGCGTCTACCTGTTTCCCCTGACMCAGCAGCCTCGGTTAAATTTCAGTCCCTCAGACTGATGATTGAGCTGTTGCTTAAAACAGTTTACACGTCAAGCAGCAGCAGAGGCTTCAGGGGAACGGGGTCGACACAGACGCAGACGTAGGTGGGTTTTATTTTTGGGCTGTGTTATTCCAAGAGAGTCAGGTGGTCACATGGTCAGGTTCGTCAACGAGCAGCACAACCGTTTGTGTCAAACAGAAGAGTCCGCCGCGATAAGGCTCACATCACATTCTGAAAGTAGCGGAGGAGCAAGAGCCACAGCASATAAATGCTAACATTTACCAAACTACAGAATCGTAATCAACAGGTGAGTTTTACCCACCTTTGYTCAGGATTTAATCTGGCTCAACTCCAAACATGTAAAACGTTTCAGCCTGATGCTCCACTGCTGCCATCTTTCAAAATGGTCCAGTTTCCACAAACACATTAAACTTTCATCGGATTTCTCCAAACAGTGTCTCATGGCATAAATCACGTCCCGTTGGACAGCGGGATTTTACTGCCAATATTTACCTCACTATCTCCTGCTGTATATTTTCTCTGACAAAAATCGAGATAGCACACAATCTACGCGGCAAGAGCTTAAAGAAATACACATTTTGGATTCCACTGAATGAATAATGGCAGSTGTTCTTGGAGCAGACTGCAGGATGGTAAAGTCTGGGTTTGGTTGTTTCATGGACTACAGGAGAAATTTGATTTATTTTGACTTTTTTCACCTTAAAACTTTGAACCAAATGCAGATCATTGCTCAGATGGTTCATGATGCCGCTGACATTTTTCAAATCTTACTTTTTTAGGTGCTTTCAGAGCCATTAAAACAGTCTGTTTTATCCCCCGACAGGCAAAATTGTTTTTGAGTTTTTGAAACGAAACTCCTGATTTCTTCTTGCAATGTGTACTTGATGTTAGAAGTCTCACAAAAACAACCCTGTTCTAGCCCCACAATGACTTGGTTTTATGCCTTTTCAAACCCTTTTCACTCCCACCTAGTTCCACTGCTGGGTTTCATATCATGTTGCTGCCACTAGGGGCGCTCTCAGGAATCTGTGAAACGTCTTAAAGATAATCTTGGATGTTTGTTCTGTAGTTTGACCAAAGATCTTCGTGATGCAGTATCACAACCAGCAGTTTGTGTTTTTAAGCTTCGTTATCTCTGTGATTTAAGCAGTTGCATTTAGAATTCAACGTTTTTTAATAACTTTGTCTAGTTAACTTRTTACAGGAGACCTGTCATGCTTTTAAATCTTTCTTTTTCACATTTAAATCCTTCATGGGGTCTATATAAAGTGGAACTGAATGCCTTGATCTGAATTCCTCCTTATTGTAACTCCACAAGCCCCTCTTTCACCCTTTTCTATMGTGCAGATAAACTCATTTTGAGGCTGTCTCTTTAAATCCAAATGAAGCGCTTTACACCCTGCAACCCTCCAGCTTCCAGACTGGTCCATTCTAGTTTGATGGAGGGGTTTGTGACTATATAGCAGCACAGAAACATTTTATTTGTTAATGAATTAAAAGACAAAGGAAGACTTGTCCGACCAGCCTTACATATTGGAGCCAGAGTCTGACCCAGAACCAGAGTCTGACCCAGAACCAGAGTCTGACCTAGAACCAGAGTCTGACCCAGAGCCAGAGTCTGACCCAGAACCAGAGTCTGACCCAGAACCAGAGTCTGACCCAGAACCAGAGGCAAATCTGTCACAAATAATTTAATGTGATAGTTCAGAAAACATCATAGAAACTACAAAAAAGACTGAACAGGTAAAAAAAATTGAGTTAACCAGAATATAAAGATATCTACACAGCACCAGCAGAGACTAAATTCAACTTTTCTGCACTTTTAGATACTCTAAGTCCACAACGAAATGTATTTAACCACTAAAAGAGTGGATTTTAAATTAACTGCCCCGTTTAAAGGACTGAACACATGCAGACCTTCACTCCACAGAGGCTGAGATCTCAATCGTTAAAGTAATTTCTAATTTTATGTCTTAARTCTACTTATCACATCCTAAAGCAGAGGTCCAGTTAGGTCCTGTTTGGTCTTAAAATGACAGAATCATCAGCTCTGACCCAGGGTCCAACATTTGTTCAAACCAAACCAACCTATGACCCAGCTGTTTTATTAGCAAAATAACTCGTCAGTTTTTGCATGAAAATACATTCATCTCAGCAGCTGCTGCAAAAATAAAAAAAACCTAACAATATGAAGTCTAGACTAGACATGGGTTTTTACGATGTAAAAACAAGTGTGCATTGCCATGTAGCATGTCTTTYCCTGCAGCAGTTCACTTGCAGAAGGAACTGTGACCAAGTTCAAATGTATTATCTATACCAGCTTGTGCCTGTCAAGTTAGCAGGTGTGTGTAATTAGTGTGATTGTGTGACAATATGACAATGTGAAAATATTTAGTTTTAATGAAATAGTTTGTTCATGGCTGGGATTGAAACCTGATGTCCAGCATGAAAGCCCACAGTGTTCACCATGAGGCTATAGGAGCTGCTCCAGTAGGTACTCCCAGTGGTAGGTTTGTATGTGTGCTGAAAGAGGCTGTATTGCCAATGCAATTGTTGACACTAAACTGCAATATATTACAGCAATAGAGCAGTATTAAGACAATATTATAGTAAAACATCAAAATACAATCATGTTAGTATTGTAAACACTGAACTACTGAGTTGAAATATTAAACTATGGTGCAGTACCAAGTTGAGTACAGCTTGGGGCAGTATTGGACCAATACAAGGCTCCATTGACTGCCATTTTAATTTAATAAACATTAATATTTCATAAACTATAATTTTTACAGGCACCAAAAGGCATAGCCATCATTTGGCACAGGAGCTTTACAGATATAAATTACAATGGCAGCTCTAGGACAAAGTATGCAGGAGGAGAAGCATGGCAAAGTTGAGATCACTTGGATGGGAAAGGAATCACAATAGTGTGCATTGCATTGGCAATGCACACTGACTAGAGCATCCTTCATCCTTCTGTTTGTTTTGAAAAGGGAAAAAAAGTGGCTGTTTATAGAAAGATGGCCCAGAAAACACTTGAGTGAGAGTCAAAATGTGACAAATTAGGAGTGAAAAAACAAACTCCAGGCTGATACTAGACATGGGTTTTTACGATGTAAAAACAAGTGTGCATTGCCACGTAGCATGTCATTGCCTGCAGCATTGGACTTGCAGAATGAACTTTGACCAAGTTCAAATGTGTTTTCTATACCAGCTTGTGCCTGTCATGTCAGCAGGTGTTTTGAATGAAGGTACTGTAATTGTGCGACAATATAAAGTTTGAAGAGATTTTTTTCTTAAAGTTACATTAGCCAGGTTTTGAACCCTGATCTCCAACATGAAAGTCCATGACATAGACCATTAGACCAATGGAGTTGTGGCAGAAGGTGGTGGCAGGGGTTGGTTTGTATGTGTGCAGAAAGAGGCCACATTGCCAATACAATTATTGACACTAAACTGCATAATATTACAACAATAGAGCAGTATTAAGACAATATTATAGTAAAATATCAAAATACAATGATATTAGTATTGTAAACACTGAACAATTGAGATTAAATATTATTAAAGTATGGAGAAGTAACAAGTTGAGTCCAGCATGGGGCAGTATTGGACCATTACAAGGCCCCATTGACTCCCATTATATGAATTTGGGAATAAAGTTTAAACATTAATATTTCAAAAAGTACAAGTTGTACAGGCACCAGAAGGCATAGCAATCATTTGGCACAGGACCTTTACAGATAGAAATTACAATGGCAGCTCTAGGGCAAAGTATGCAGGAGGAGTAGCGTGGCGACGAGGAAGAAGACGGAATAAGTTGAATAATAAAGAGAAACTGGAAAACAATAGTGTGCATTGTATTGGCAATGCACACTGATAAAACTCAGAGGAGTCGCCTGAAACATACCAACTCCAGCCTGTCTTACATTTAATCTATTCTGTCAGAAAACAAAACTTATTATTATTATTATCATTATTATTACGTTAATCAGGTGTGAGCTACAGCTTAGCGTGTCAGGGCACCAAGGTTTATGCTTCTTTCTTCCCCCGAACCATTTCTGTTCTTCATTTCACATGTCTGCTTTTTACAGCGAGCGGCCCACGCTCCCAGACCCATTTGTAGAAAGAAGCAGGAGCAGTGGGAAAGAGGAAGTGACTTGCTAGACAGCACTTCCTCCAACCCGTCTTTCCCTGTCGTGGCTGTAAGAATAGACAGGAACATCTGGAACAGTGTGACGCGGACACATCTGGAGCACAATAGCCAAGAAAACACAGTAGCGAAGGTCCTGAGGGTGCTTCTGTTTTCACAACAGGGCATTAATGTGCTAATCGAGGGCTCAGTCTGAACTCAGAGGGACGTACTTGTCTTTCAGTGAGGTCGAGGTTGACGGCGATCTCGTAGCGCCTCAGCCTGGTTAGGTAGTTGTGGTGAGCGAACTCGGCCTCCAGCTCTCGGATCTGCTCCTTGGTGAACGCCGTCCGCTCCTTCCTGGGCTTGCTGCTCACGTCTGGCTTGTAATTCCCATCCTGGGACTCTGAAACCAAACACCACACACAGGTTTCTGCTGCGCTCGGGGCAGATTTATACGCAGGGAAAATGAAAAAAAAAGAAAGAAAAAGAAAAGAAAAACAATAAGAAAAACACCATGTGGCAGGTGCAAGTCTGCGGGGGGAAGAAGGAGGGAAAAAAAACAAAGGTGGGAGAAACAATGAGAGCTGTCAGTCACGTTTTACTGTTCAGGCGTTGTTTATGAATACTTTAAGTGGATGGAAGGACTTGTGGGCGGGAACAGGTCTGACTGCAGCTGCTGCTCTCTTACAATATGCTGGCTTTTATATCGCCAACATGGATTTAATTTGTCTTTGTTTAAGAGAAAGCTGCTGCTGTAACTTTATTAGCAAGCTCGGAACAAAGACACAGTAAAGCTGAAGCRTTATATTTGGAAAATTCTTTCTCTTTTTCAGCCTTTTGTTGTGCAGTCAGTGAAGCAATAAATACTCGTAAAATGTATATTTAAATGCGTGTGACCCCCTGCCAAACTCCCAGGTAGTTTTATGTTGAAAAGTGACACAGCTACACCCATTTTGGTCAAACTTTATAAACATTATTTGAAATCTCAAGCAAAATGCATCTGATCTMTGTTGGGTATGACTCTGACCTACAACCACACCAAATTTTAGCTTAATATCTGTAAACTGGCTTAGATGCAGTACAGGTGTTACACCATATATTGTGACCAGAGGGGGCGCCATTGCGGTTCTACAACAGAACCTGGCCGAACTTGGGCACAAAGAAGAATATGTTACGCCAAAAGTGTAGCGTTTGATCAGAGGCTGAAGACACATACGCAAAAAAAGAAAAGAAAAAAAGAAAAACAATATTTATTTAAAAAACTGCATCTGCTGATTGTTGATTTTTTAAATTGTTTTTATTCATGTAAACAATGAGTGGAAACAGTTTTTGAACAAATATTTCTACTAATCACCAAGCTATAGTGAAGTCACAATATATGATAGCAGCTGTCGTAT